TCCTTTACTCATAATACCATTTGATATGGCAGATGCGGAAAGAAAAGCAAAAATGCTACTGGTAATAATGTCTCTGATCGGGGCGGTACTCGATATATTCCTGGGTGGGGAGGTGCGGCGCGGCCCCCCATACCCTGACCCTGTTTAAGACAAATATCGCTGATTTTCTTACCCTGTTTAAGACAGAATTCCGATTTTTGAGACCCTGTTGAAGACATTTATTGTGCCTGGTAGCAATGCCAAAATCAACGGAATTCAATTTTAATTAAAATTATAGCTTGTAAAAATTTTGCTGTTTATCTTCCAAGTAAAGATATCCTGTTTAAGACAAAAATTGATAAATCGATACCCTGATTAAGACAAAAAATGATAAATTCGATACCCTGTTTAAGACAAAAAATCTCGAAAAACATACCCTGGCTGGTCGCACGTTCCCATTAAGCCCTTATAAGGGAGTACCCCCCCCCGTCTCTGATCGTGGTCAGTCTACCGTAAAGAGAAGTTTTGAAGATAAAAATCTGACAGACGTTATCAAGGCCATTCAAGGTCGTAACTGCATTACCCTTCCCTTTTTTACTTTTGACCACACTTACGTCAGAAAATAACTAAACTCCTCGTTCCAGAAATCTTCCATCAGATTCTTTCCTTTTTCCATTGGCATAAGGCCAAAAGACAAAATTGATCTCGGTGTGTGTTTTAGTCAATTTTTTTATGTCTAGTTTTAGGAAAAACTGGTTAATGACGCAAATACACCGAAATATCGTCTCTCATGAACGACGGTTCCATTTTCCACAGTAGTTGGATATTTGAATGGAATTTGTCAAGCACCACAAATAAATACACATCACAAGTAAATGAGGATTCTGAAAATGTTCCACCACAAGTTATGGCAGGAAGACAGAGGTGCGCATTGATTAGGTTTAAATTACCAATATCAACCACAATATCAATACAGCATATTTTCACTGTATCGCAATGAAAGCTGTTGTGCTTGTTATAAGCTTCTAAGCGTTGTAATCTTGTTTTGCAAGATTGCAGTTATCATAGCGTTAATGACAAGATTAACGCTGACATGATGCCTCAAAATCCGCTTATTAGATCTGCTTGTGAGCGAATCTCCACCATTGTGATTTTTTTTATTATTATTGTCTTAATATTTGTTAAGATTAACTTGATCTGGATTTTATCGACCGACAACAAGAATACTTGATTAGCACAATTAGTTGGCTTCTTTGCAAACACGTGGTGTCGAACTAAGATGACGAATAATATCGTCACCAATATTCCCATATTGTATGTGATGACATTTGACAACTCGGAAATAAAATTACGTATGTATAGCATCCCTAATTTCGTCTGTATCTATCTGTACCTCATCGTCCATCTACCCAAAAAATTGATATCCACAAATTTAATTGTTCTTAGATGCAGTTCATCATAGTGGATTAGTCTGTAAATACCTGGTAATTTGAAGCAATGAAACAAGAGCCTCGGAATAATCTCCGTTTAGCTATGTTTTATCGACCGGAAGTTCATCTCAACGGAAGTTGCTGATCCCATGTCACACCCTCTCACCCCCGACGTGACGTCAAGCGGCGTTGAATAATCACAGTTGTCTTGATGTAGTTACTCGAATCAAGTGAGCAGCAGTTAGGGTTATTAGTTCTGACAATTCATCTCGGTAAGAGAAAAGACAAGTGAGTGGTATCTCATACTATTTTGCAGTGTTACTACTAATGATGTTATCTCACGGTCTATACATTTCTTGCATGCCTGTGTAGCGAATTTGTAGCTGTACAACGTCACTCATTTACAATATAATAGACTTGTCATTGAGCAGATTTTTGCCTTTCGTGTGCGCTGTTCTTTTCTTGGACTTCTCTAAAACGACTGATCTTGTACGATGAATTCTTCACTTTCTGTGGAATACTTTTTCTTGCAGGATTATTCTTTAGGAGTTGGTTTTTAACCCGTTCGCCCGGGCGAATCGAATTCGTTTTTGTTGTCGATCGCGCGATCGGAAATGAATTCTGTTTGGAAGAACACAAGAATAAGCTTACTGATGATAAGTTTTGTCTTCCTGGCAAAGTTTTCAAGTGTTCAGACCCGTAAGTATCAGATTAAGTCAAAATCAGCTTACCCGTTTAATCGATGAAAACTCCGCTATGAGCT